GAGATTTTAGCTTTCCTCAAGCAGCCAAGGACACAGGTCCTTGAAACACGCATCTCCCAAAGAGCCACCCCCCATGTCGAGTTAACCTGTGCCTCGACATGGACTGGTGAGGATGCAGTGGCAGCCTCCACTGTGTGCTTACCAGGGGCCGAAGGGACGAGCGACTCTCGAGAACCACCGCAGGCCACACTGCCTTGTCGCAGTGGCCGGCTGCAGAGAGCCATAACCGAGAGGGCCTCATTGCCCATGCCTACACGCCAGGCAAAAGGGGGAGGGAAGAAAAAATAACCACACCATAGGATTTTTAGGGTTTTTTTTAATGTGCCTGTCCTTTTAATTCTTAGCCATAAGGCCATCAGTGGCAGAATTCAACCATTTCCTACATTGGCTAACATTGTATTCTGGCTGACTAGATTAGTCTAACATTTTGTAGTTTATATTTGCACTGTTAACAATGTGTGCTGCTGGTATTTTAAGAACATTTGCCTCTGTTCTTTCACTTTAACTTCATACAAGCATTTTTTTACTCTGTGCCAGGCATTCATTGCTTTTCTTACAAATACAAGTCATTTCTTGAGGCAGCTGTTTTTTGAGTTTTCTTTCTCCATTATCCCATCCCCTCTGAGCAAGCATTCTGGACTTGGTGGTAAGTATACAGGTCTTGGCAATACTCGCCTCCAAAACTGTGTTCGATCAGTCTTTGCCTGGTGTTTCTGGCATGCCAGCCTGAGGTGTTGGGGTTAGCCTGTACCGGATCATGATCATTCTTATCCTCTGTGGGTCTGACAAGCTCACTTTCTAAGACCCTCGGTGGAGCTAATCCACATGTCTTGGCTATGTTGTATAATAAGTAATGTTGCCAGGATCATACCTCATATTTATCTTTTGGGGCCTGTATAGTAATGTGCCACCAGATCTATCTAGGCACCTGACTCTCGTTTTCAAAGTTCCTTTTATGATGGATCTGGTGGTTGGATGGGCAGCATTATAATTTTTCCTCTGAGAGAGTCTGGGGATCTGAAACAGGAGTCACTAAGAAATGTGTTCTATGGGGATAAGAGCTATCTCCTGCACCAAATCTACTAGGAGGAGACTGTCCCCTGTAATTATTACAGATATTAATTATTTAAGAAAATGAAAAGAAAAAAATAAATAAAAGAGCAACTTACCTAGCAGCCAGACCTCTTGAGAATGTAAAAGTCATGACATGCTGTTGGGTACTGTGCTACTATGTCTGTGATTAAGAGCTTTTCATCAGAGATGACCTACATGTTGATAAAATGCAAACTACTTTCTGTGCCTTTAGGCCATCTAATTTCCTGAGGGCTGGCACCCTGAGCAGAACACGGGTGCGATTGGTAACCCACAGGGCAGATGGAAATGCACTTTGCAATAAATTATTTTATATCTGTTGGTGCTGCCTCTCTCGGGGGAATTTAATATAGTGGCACTCAAATTGCTATATGCATGCAGAGGCATCAGACTGGCTTATCCATGTGGTATCCCTGACAGTTCTCTGGAAGGATGCTGTTACCAGGAGCCCCTTGAGCGTGGTAACTAATTATCACAGGTGTAGCATGGCTCCTGTGTTTGACTCTCCACATACCGTTGTAACTTTTTGTAAAGGTTCAGAAGAGTTTATATGCAAAGCAGCGATGAATTCCTCCTCTGGCAAATACTAGAGAATAATTGTAGGCCTAAAAATCCTCTTCTATGATTACAACTGAGCTGCACTCTCTGTCCAGTCAGCCATAGCCTCTTCTTTTCCGTCTTTCTCTGAGACTGTAGTTGATCAAAATAAAGCAGATACAACATTTTGTTACTCTACCAGTCAGCCACAAATTGCTCCCTTGTAAGCGTGTGTGCGTGCGTGCTTGTGGCTGTACTTTGCTAAATGAATGGTTTAATGATGAAATGCAGCTGGCATGGCCAACCTCCAGTATAGGCTCTTTGCAGTACAGGTTTTCTTCCCTTCCACCTACATCCAGCTGCGTTCCTTCTAAGACTACCGTTGGGGGCGTGCTTCTTCAGCCACACTGTCGACACAGATCAAGTGCAAATTTTTGCACCCCTTCCATGGCTTTTTTATCTCTCTTTTGTTAAAACTGTTTGTAAAAGTATCCTCAGAGAATTTCCAACACAAGCTTGTAAGATTCCCCTCTCACTGGTACAAGAAACGCATGCTGCAGGTTATTTAAGATCACATGGAGGTTGGGAGAGAAGTCCATTAGTAAGCCTGATAAATTACTCCAATATGAACAGCTTTTTGAACATGTGTTTCTGGTGCATACGTGGTTTGCACACTGGTAATGTGGATATGAACAGCCTAGCTAAAGGCAGAGGCAAGTGGAAGTTTGTCCCAATATGCTTACGTCTTATTTCTTTGGGATGAGTTTGAATAAAGCTAAATACAAATCAGCCAGTTAATTTTCTTGGCCTAATTAGAGCATGTCTGATAATACAGTGAGAATGTTTTTATTTTACATAGTACTTTCACTTCAAAAGTGTGGTGCAGTTGTGCGGTCAGTTGCTAAGATTTTGACATATTCTGCAGGACCCGCCATGTAGCTGCTGCCATTTAGAATAAACCACATTCCACAGGCTGGCTGCTTCTGTAGCTTCAAACTTGTTGTAGTAGTTTTAAAATTATGCCCTCCAATCTACCTTTGCATTCTCATCAAAAACAGCAGAGCAAAAGAAGAAGCTGCACAGATGTAGCAGTGCTGCTGCTGGAAATACTGTGCGAGGAACCCCTAAAGAGTTCTTTGCAAGGTAGCTTAAGCTGTCACCTGCTCTCCTCTCCCATTTCTCAGTGCTTTAGCTAGATTTGGAAAGACACAAAGCACCACTTGAATGGGAGCAGCTATAGGGCTGAGGAACTGTCCACAGACAAGAAACCTGCAATAAACTCACACACAATAAAGTTCTTCCAGATGGAAATAGTAGATGGCATTAAGAACTGGTACCAACTGATATTTTGTTCAGATCCAAAATTAGGATCTGACTTCTAGTATTGTCTAGCAAAATCAGTGCAGTTGGAGGGTATGTATGTTTCATCCCCAAACAAATATTTTCATGCTTTTCAAGTGTCTGTCATAGCCTCATCACTCTTTCCCTGTAGCTTTTTGTTGTCTGAATGGGTATATGGTTACATGTGTCTGTTAAAAATAAAGGGGATCAGTTCTTACTGGTATATTTATATTTCTGATTTACAGATTTTGAGTACCTAATGCTTCAGTTTCCCAAAAATTTTTCTATCTCAAAGACCAGTTGGCCTTCTGGGATGTTGGAAAGGGTGGGAGAGACTTAATATGAAATCTCTACATCCTTGAATCTGTTGGTGATTGATCCCCCGAGTACAATTCTAGAGTCTAGCCATATTTTTGCTGTATAGGTCAAATGTTCATGGTTATACCATTGCTTTCTGATGCCTTTTGCTGAGCAGAAGTGCAGATATTTTAATTTCAGAAGTTCACAGTTTGTATTACAAAGTCTTATGAAATGTGACTTGAAGTTTGTTTTATTTTTGAATACATGTGATGATCTTAAGATTTTTTTTTTCCTTTTCTCCTTTCACTGGATGATTTAAAACACACAACAATAAAGCAGACCAATGAAAAAAATGAATTCTAACTTCAATTGAAAAGAAACAGAAATACTACTCTTGTGAGAAAGATTTCAGCAGTGTTCAGCTTACTGATTCTGCTCAACCTTTCCTTTCCTGCCTGCTCCCTGACCCTCTGTGACACTAAAATATCCATTTCTAGGACAACCTTCTTCTAACCAGAAGGCTAAAAGTTCTTCCCTTTCTTCTTCTCCCATTTAAAATATCATCCTTGCATCTGCCAGATCTACTATTTAGAGGGATCAAAAGCTCTTTTCCTCCTGCCTTATTCCCATCCATATCCAGGGCCCTGAGTATGCTGCTCTCCAATGAGAGGTAAAGCTTAAATCCCTAAATCTGATACTTTGCATAGTAACACCATCTGTAGACCACCAAGATCCTGTTTTTTAAGTCTGTAGTAACCTAATGAAGTAGCTGCTTTTCTGCTTAAGCAAATAATCAAACATTTGGGAGAAGGATCTAAGGGCTAAAAAGTAACATTGCTCCAACTCACGTTGTGGAAGCATAGGAGCCGGGCTGAGGTATTTCACTCACATAAATACCACAGGCTATATAACTAATCCATACTTCAGTGAAACTTCAAAGGAAAAGACACTAAATTAACATGATTATCAAGTACAGAATAGTCAATGTGTTACAGTCTATACTTTCTTAGGGAAGCAAATGGAATGAAAAGGGTAGTAAGAAAACCTGTTGGTATGATATAAGTTTGGATTCTAGTACAGGTTCAAAAATAAAACTATTTTGTTCACTAGTCATAGGCTAGTGATTAAATTTCTCCATGCCTTAGTTTTGTAATAATAGAAGTGGCAGTAAAAGAGCTGGGAGGCCATAATTAGTTGATTGTATGGTACTTTGAGGTCCTCAGTCTAAGGGAGTAACATGTATTAAATACTGATGAATCTTGTTTGTGACCAAAGTTGGAAATGGGATTAAAACAAACACTCTAAACTTCAGAAGATTTTGATTAAAGTTTTCCCCATATATTATTGTCATGCCATATGGTAGATCAGGATCCCAAAGCCAAGTGTTGAAGTTCTCATTCTGATTTGGACTTTGCCTGCTTGGTCTGTTTCTGACCACAACTAAACAAATTCCAAGACTGTTCAGTTAAGAAAAAAAAAAAAGATATAAAAGTTTAATTTTAAAGAATGATGTCATTGCTTACAATGCTAATCTAATAATCCAAAAGTGTGAATAGATCAGGATGTGATTAATTGAAGAGAATAGGCATAAAAGAGCACTTCTGGAGTACTTGTTATTGTCCAAAATATCACTGAAATTCTAATGACTAAGTACAGTCTGCTTATCTCTATATGAAACAGTGCTGTACAGATTCATTATTTCTAAAGGTCTTCTTTCCATTTCTATATAGATATTCTCCCTTCACATTTTGAAGGTTTGAAGAAGAGGATTGTTTTTCGAGTCACACTAAGTAAACATTAAATGCATGCAGGCTTAAAACTAAAGCATGCATGTTATGTAGCAGCAATAAAAAGTGCTCGGCTTGCACGACTTATGATGCTCAAGCATTGCCTTGTTAAAATGCCAAAAAAAAAAAAAAACTTTTCTTTGCATTTTTTTGAAAAGTAAATCTCTTCCTTTGACCTTGCAATACTTAAATTTTCAGTTTCTGGACAAATTATATTTATTTTACTGAATACTTTTATATTACAGATAAGGTGGATGAAATAGTACCAGTTTCCAAGCCATCAAGAATTGCAGACAATGCAACTGTGGACTCAAGAGTGGCAACTATTAAACAGCGGCCTTCTAGTAGATGTTTTCCCTCAGCTACAGATATGAATGTGAGTGGTAGCTATGAAGTACTGCTTTCACTTCTGAAACTGATTGGAAGGGGTACTTTGCCTGTGTGCAAAATTCAACACACAACAGAAATGAATTTAAAACAATGCTTTATATAATCATGCTGTCTTTGTTATCTTGTAACCTTGGTCTAGCCTGTGTTTTTGGTAATAGTTTGTTTAACAGAAGAGCCTGTGTACCCCTAAAACCTTTTAGCATTAATTTCTTATATTTATTCTGAGACTGTCACTTCAACAGCATTGCTACCATTATTCAAACAGATGTGACCTTGCTCTGCCTGTAATCTGAGCTGGTAAAATACCAGTAAATTCTAACTGAAGATGTTGGTACAACACTAAGGCCAAGCTAAAATCTTTGCTGAAAATCAAAGTTTCAGTGCCAGAATTAGTGCAGCCACATAATTTCAACTAATGTGAAAGTTTCTACTAGCACAGGTTTTTATTATTTCTAATGGCATCTGTAATATCTTAACTAAATAATGCATGATGATTTGTAAGGGAAGAATTGACGTTCATGCCACAGCATGTATTAAAAATTTAAACTCCAGAACTCTGAAATTGGATTCCTCACTTGCAGAATTTGCTCTTACAGAACTTTACATGTGGGGAAAAAATAAAAATAAATAATGCATTTTAGATGCATTTTTCCATAGCCTCTCAAGCCTTTCATACATCTCAAAAGTAGCCCCAGTCCTGATACACTTTGCTGTTCTCCATAGCTTGGGAAAGAAGGAAATAGGGACTGTTTCTGGGCAGAAAATGGTTTTGTAATGGACTACAAGAAAAGAACAGTTGAGTGCATTGGGATCAGGGTACGTTTCTCAGTTCCTAGCCGAGAAGCTGACTTGCAGCATAACCCTGCACAAGACACCTTGAGTCTGTGCAAGACTCCAAGAGTAGGTCTCCTTCTCAGAAGTGAAGAGAGCATACAGCTTGGCATAAAGCCACTGTTAACACTCATACGGTGTGTGCAAGGCTTTTGGAAATGAATGAAACAAAATGTAATCGCTCAGGCTTTTTTTTTCTTACAGCACACAGAATGTGCTGGAAACTTAACATATTGCCTTGTAAATAATTTCACCTACGTCCACTTACAGCTGTTGTTATTTTTTTAATGTATAAAAAATCCCGGCCTTCCTTTTTCTCTTTACCTCCTTCCCAGAAGAATATCAAATTTGTTATTCTCCATAAAAATTCTAAGAGGGGTAGTGGATTAGTTGATATTACAAAACAGTTATTTACCTGTGAGAAAAAGACTTGCATGCTTTAATGCTCTTGGGCTTTTTTGTTTGCTTTTTTGTAGTCCATGTATGAGAGACAGGGTATTGCTGTGATGACACCCACTGTACCGGGGAGTCCTCAAGGTCCTTTTCTGGGTATACCTCGGGGTACAATGAGAAGACAAAAATCTATAGGTAAAATGTTTCTCATGCATAGTTTACTTGTGCATTAATAACCTACTTTTAGCAACTTTATCTCTTTCTTAAAGCATATTTCTGCAATGTCTTTACCTCAGTGAAGGATTGCTTATTTTTTATACAAAGTTAATGGCAAAAGAAAGTCTTGTTTAAGTTGCTATAATTTCCACATTCTGCCTTAATGGCAGTAGACAAGTGTTGTGGAATGATTTGATTCATTTCTTTAGAATGTTTCCTCTAACAAAAAATGTTATTGAGAAGGGAAAAAATAAAGAGGAAAAAAGAAAAAGAGCAGTACAAGCCTATTACAATGCATTACCTATGGCAAAATGTTATTCATTTTTATTTTGCTATTGAAGCAGAAGCATTGTAATGCTGTGTAGTTTATAAAGAAATCCCTATTGATCAAAAGGAATAAAAATCACCTCCTTTTCATTCCAAATGATGTCAATAAATGGTTGTACAAAAGAGAAAAAAAAAATAGAGCAGACCAAACGTGAGCTTGTTCTGTTCTTTATAATAATATTAGAAGTGATACTTCTCAATTTAGGAACCCATTAGGATGATATAAAATTGGCCGTCTAAATTATCCCAATATTACCAAGTTTATTTATGTTAAAAGCTGTATCTGTAATAATATAATATCATTCTTTGAAATAAAGCATTATGATTTCTTTCCCCAACAGAATCTTCTCGGTTCCTTTGCTAAGCTTCAGTGCATCTTAAAAATTCATTAGGTTTCTAAGTTGCATAATTTTGTGCATTTAGAAAGTGCTAGGGACAGACATAAGGTACTCTTCTGCACCAAATGTCTTCCCTGTTCAATAATCTTCAAAGAAAATGTGCTTCTCTACAGCTACCTTGATGATACATAAGCCCCAAACATTTGCCTACATATCAATGATCATTTTAATTAAAATTCTGTAGCATTCTTTTGAATTCTGGCATCTAGGTTTCAGCAAATTCAGCAAGCAAAAATGCTGATGTTTGGAATGAGGCAAAAGACCCTTTTCATAATTGCACATATGCCTCATGTGAAATGCACCTTAGCATTTTAGGTTGGATACAGAAATAATGCAATATGAGGGATTGCGAAGGAAGGCATTGTTTTATATATACTTTCTGTTTTTTAGGAATAACAGAGGAAGAACGGCAGTTTTTGGCTCCTCCTATGCTGAAGTTTACCAGAAGTCTTTCAATGCCAGACACCTCTGAAGATATCCCACCACCACCACAGTCCTTACCACCTTCACCACCACCACCTTCTCCCTCTCTGTACAACTCTCCCAAATCCCCAACATCAAGGAGCTATGGAACTATTAAACCTCCATTTAATCAGAATTCAGGTGCAAAAATTTCTTTGGTTAGGCCTGAAAATGTGGGAACTATGATAAGGGACAAAGGGATCTATTACAGACGAGAACTGGACCGCTACTCTCTGGACTCTGAGGATCTGTACAGTCGGAGTGCCACATCTCAGGCAAATTTCAGGAACAAGAGAGGTCAGATGCCAGAAAACCCGTATTCTGAGGTCGGGAAGATTGCAAGCAAAGCAGTTTATGTGCCAGCCAAACCAGCGAGACGGAAGGGGATGCTGGTGAAACAATCCAATGTTGAAGACAGTCCAGAAAAGACCTGCTCTATTCCAATCCCAACAATTATTGTGAAAGAGCCGTCCACCAGCAGCAGCGGGAAAAGCAGCCAAGGGAGCAGCATGGAAATCGATCCTCAGTCTTCAGAGCAACCTGGGCAACTCCGACCTGATGACAGCCTAGGTGTCAGCAGTCCATTTGCAGCAGCCATTGCTGGAGCAGTAAGGGACAGGGAAAAGCGTCTGGAAGCAAGGCGTAATTCTCCAGCCTTCCTTTCCACAGACCTAGGAGATGAGGATGTTGGGCTAACACCACCAACACCACGTATGAGGCAGTCTAAATTTACTGATGAAGCAATGTTTAGTAGTGAAGATGGCTTTAGACAGCTTATGTCACCATCTCCAATTCCTGCACCTAGAGAGCCTGAAAATATTTTTAATAGCAGTGAACCCAGCAATCAAAGTGATTCAAGGACATTAAATGCTTCGTCCAAAACGAAAGGTACTGAAAACAGTACAGTGGCAGCTAAGCCCACGAATGCATCCAGCTCAGATAATTATGTTCACCCAGTCACAGGAAAGCTATTAGATCCAAACTCACCACTAGCCCTCGCTCTCTCTGCCAGGGACAGAGCCATGAAAGAACAAACGCAGCAGATTCCAGGCAAAGGGGACACTGTTAAGCCTGACCTTAATAAACCACTTTACATCGATACAAAGCTGAGACCCAATATTGAAACGACATTTCCTGTTACTGCTACTGTCACTAGGCAAAATACTCGCGGCCCATTGCGAAGGCAGGAGACTGAGAACAAGTATGAAACAGATGCAGGGAAAGAAAAGAAGGCTGAAGAGAAGAAAAACATGTTGATAAACATTGTGGATACTTCACAGCAGAAGTCAGCTGGCTTGTTAATGGTTCATACCATGGACACAGCAAAGTCTGATGATGCGCCTGAAGATGAAGAGGAAAAAAGAGATGAAATGGAACCAAACCCTGAAAACTCCCCACCAGAGAGGCCAGAGGGAAGTGAGGAAGCAGAAAGTGAGCTGGATGTGCCTGCTGCACCTGAGCCACCGGCATCTCCCTGCAAAACCATCGTAGCAGCGAGCTCTGTCGACGACCCAGTCATCTTGCCGTTCCGCATCCCCCCGCCACCCTTAGCATCAGTTGATATTGATGAAGAATTTATTTTTACTGAGCCACTACCACCCCCCTTAGAGTTCGCCAACAGCTTTGATATCCCCGACGACCGCTCAGCTCCTGGTTCAGCTCTAACGGACTTGATTAAGCAAAGAAAAAACGGCACGCCTTCACCCGCGCCATTTGCCCCCAGCCAGTCAACAAATTCCTTAGACAGTAAAAAGCAAGTGGGTCTTTCAAACTGTTTGCCTGCCTCCTTTTTGCCACCCCCTGACAGCTTTGACAACGTCACTGACTCTGGGATTGAGGAGGTAGACAGTCGGAGTAGTAGTGACCATCACTTAGAGACAACCAGCACTATCTCAACAGTGTCCAGCATCTCTACCTTATCCTCAGAAGGGGGTGAGAACGTGGATACTTGTACAGTCTATGCAGATGGGCAAACATTTCTGGTGGACAAACCCCCAGTACCTCCTAAGCCAAAAATGAAGCCCATAATCAACAAAAGCAATGCACTTTACAAGGATGCGCTAATTGAAGAAACTGTAGACAGCTTTGTTATTCCTCCTCCCGCTCCGCCCCCACCTCCAATCAGTGCACAGCCCAATATGGCTAAAGTTGTTCCCCAAAGGACATCTAAGCTATGGGGCGATGTGACGGAGGTGAAAAGCCCAATTCTCTCAGGCCCAAAGGCTAATGTTATTAGTGAATTGAACTCAATACTCCAGCAAATGAACAGAGAGAAATCCTCAAAGCCAGGGGAAGGATTGGAGTCACCTACTGGAACAAAAACTGCAAGTCTCAGTACAAGGTAAATGCGATTAGCAAAATAACTTACTAATAGAAGCTTTCTTTCTTTTCTTGCCTTTACTAACTTCCCCTGTAAATCATACAGAGTAAAGAATGTGTCTTTTATTGTACATATTTGTTTAATGAATATGACAAACAATTTTACAGATGGGAAGAATTTCCTACATTGTCAATGTTTCTGTAGTCTACAACATGCAATAGGAGCTTTTTGGTATTCCCCAATTTCAGAGACATTTTCCACAACCTTATCCATTGTTTTGACATGAGTTACTTTGATTTGTGTTTAAGTAGCTCTTTTCTCTCTTTTTTTTTCTTTTTTTTTTGTTTTTGTTTTTCCTTTAAAATGTGGTGATAATTTAATTTTTGTTCAGTTTCTTAACTTATTTTGTCTTCAAACAGGTAAAAAAGTGTTTTTATCCAGGCTTACTTCACATTCATGGCTTGATGTTTGATTCATGCTGGTATCTCTAATAATCATATAATGATATTTATCACGATATACCACCATATCATGAAATATAAATCTGTTTTAGGAAATTACTCACTTAAATCACTTTGCACTGTTTATGTTTTTGCTAAATGGTTAATTTATCATCTTTAGCACTCAGTATTATTGGATGTAAGTTCTTACTTTCTATTGTCCCCATTTGCTTGTGAATAGTCTGTGATGTTTACAGGTTCAAGAGCATGGCTCATTTCTCCCAACAGTACCATCCTTTTAGTGCAGGGCAACACATTTCCATAGAAGTGGTATGAAAAGGTACTTAGACAAAAAGTAAGTTAAGTAGTCAAACTCCATTAGGTAAATGCACAAATAATTATCACATTTGTGTTGAGTATGGATCTAAATATCATGAAATCCAAACTTAAGGGGAAAAAAAAATGAGATTTTGTTCATTTTATTAAGATCCCATGGTATTACTTTTTTGTGGCATGGAATAGTTTGGCCTTGCATACATTAGTTAAATGGACCTTTTACTAAAGTATCACATATTGTTTGGCCTGGCCTGCTCCATAGAAATTGATTTTTTTGCAAAAATGTAGTGCTGATTTAGTTTGTTTAAAAAAAATATATCATGTAAGCAAATTTAAATAAAAATATTCTGCTGGGTAATAAATAACCTGGCCTTTGAAAAGGGCCATTCTTTGCATGCATAAAGATGTTTTGCATGTAGCAAAAGGGTGACTCTGTTAATTGCAAATGATTGCTCATTCAGAAAACAGTGTGTTCGCAAGCTTCAGTGTCAGGTAGTTACATTATTTTCTGCAAGATGTAAGTTATTAAATTGTTGACAGGGAGGTATGGAGGTTATACATCTTCTAGAATGAAGGGATGGAAGAAAAATGCTAGAATTCTGGAATTCCTGTCCAGTAGTTCTTGACTAAATGGAGCATAAATCAAGTTGCCTGTACAGGAAAAGCTTTAATACATGGGAAAAAAATCAATGAAAATTGTACAAGAAAAATATATGTACTGGCTGCTTGATGAAAATCTTTGAACAAAGTTAGCACAGCAAATGAACCCTTTAAATTTGAGAACACATCTGGCAAACATAAAATCAGCATTTGTATACTAAGCGTGAATTTACATGTCTTGTCTTACACGTCTCTGACAGTTTCAATTCATACTATTCTTACTGTGTTCAACACTATTTTTGCTTGCGCTTGATTGTCTTTCTTGTTAAGCCATATGAACATATTGCCTCTGACTTCATATGTTTGATATATTTATTATCATGTATATTTTAGATTGATAGTTATTTCCAGTTTACAGTAAAGGTATTTATCATCACAGATATTTATCATCATCAGTAAAGATATTTATTATCAGATTTTATTAGAAAATATCTGAGTCAAGCAACTACAATGTACTGTAAATACTTCAAAGTACTGCATTTCTGAGAGAAAAATGAGAAGTGGAAGCAAATAATTATCTCTTTTAATTTTAATTTTATTTTAATTTTATTTTGTGTGTGTGTGTGGAAAGAAATTTAAACTGATACAAAAGCTGCAGAAAAGAGAAAAAAAAAGGAAAAATTGCTTTCTTGGAGAAAAACAAACTGTCATGTACATGTGTCATATGCATTACATTTTAGAGAAAAATCTGACTTGGACAGCTATAGGAAATTATTTTGCTTCTCTGTCCTTTAGTTTTTTTAATTCTTGTAACTCAACTTTGGCAAATTACATAGTCTTCATTATGGAAATAGAGACTCCATTTGGAAGCAAAAACACGCAAAGAATTATTTAAATCTGGCTGAAATCCTGCTTCGTTCCTGAAAAGTCTGCCCAAATGTATTTGCTAACTCGAGAGAGGATCTTGAGATATAACAATCCTGAAAGACCTATGAGATAATAAATAAGAAAAGTTGACAGTGGAAAAGAGCAGTAGAACTGTTGGATGCCATAGATGAAATACTTTCAGAGGTATATGAATGTAGATGTGTAGATGGAAGGTAAGAGGGCTGTATTTTGTTCTCCTTTTCTTTCAAAACTAATGCAATCACATTAGTTTTTAATTCAGTTTCAGCTAATTAGGTGGATTGAAGATACTAAAAAGGATCAGAAAAGGCTACTTGGAGTTTTATCTAAACGGCGTAAGAAGTCAGCAGCAGCAGACGAGATCCAACTATCTATAGATATTTGAGATCTCTTTTCAAAGATGCTGCAGGCAATTCCTTTTCATCTTACCAGGAGCGAGGTAGAGCAATGTCAGGTGAGATGCTCACTCGCAGAGTCAGAGGTGTGACTAGCCCAGCAGCCATGGCTGGCTACGTGGTGTCTGCCTGAGCGCTCTTACCCAGCTCCTGCCTGCCCTGCAGAAAGGCTGGGACTGGCCCTCAAGGGGTCATGGCAACATTAGCACCGTGGAAAAAATGCTCTGACTTCCTTGTTGCATTGTGTAAGTTTATGCCCTGGACTGCCTGCATTAAGTTTCACTTCTGTTCTTGAAGGTAAAAATGATGGATGTGTGGTAAACGCTTCCCAGACAAAGGCCTATTTTTACTGCTTTTACTCCTACCTTACCTTTAAAAAAGCTAAATAAATTATAGCCTTTCTAGCCCAATCGCATGACTGACACAATTTTTTACAAAGTCATAATATATTATGATCAGGGAATACCATCTTGCCAAAGTATTAAAGTTGATATTTAAATTGTAAAGCTAAAATTCTTACAGTTTCATGACTTTTTTTCTACTACTGTAAAACCTAGGCCAGCCAATTGTAGAGCTTGTAGCCCTTTTCTTTGAGGTAGCATTAGAAAGGGAGTAAGGAAGTTTAGTTCTCAAAACACAAAGATTCCTCTGAATTAAAGAAAAGTGATAAAAAATGCGTATATCTGTTCATATTCTTCAGCCAAAGAGAAGCCATGGGAAGTGTTATAAATAGTAACGTTGTTCACATGCTCGCTTGGGTTCTGCTCATAGCACTAGGAGCCTGACGAAATTGAAATATATATTTCTTCATTGTGAAATAGATGAAGCTTCACCCAGGTACCAGTTCTAAATATCTCTAGGAGCTATTTTTATACAGCCAGTAGACATACAAATGTGGTTCAGTCACGGCAAGTGCACCGTCAGGGTAGCATAGAGGTGAATTAAATTGTAGATTGTTTGGTAACGGCTTGTTAGAGAAACCCATGAAATAGATCTTCTTTATATGTTTTTGATAAATGAGGATTATGAAGAGACTGTTTTACAGTGCTGAGCAGCATTTCTCTCTCAATTATTACATTAAAAAAGGACCCTATCTAGTTTCTTTTCACTGTACATTGGTTTAGCAGTAATTCTACACTGTGTATTTATAGTTTGCCGTGGTTCTTATGGAGACACCAAGCTTCAAGATTTTTAAATAGAGCATGGAAATGCCTGGCTGGAAACCATCTGCTTCTCAGTGGCAGTGACCAGCCATGGGATGGGAAGAGGAGACTGGTATGGAAGGAAAAAGAGGAAGGCTGCATTTGCTTAGTTTGCACTAATACAAGTATAATTGAGGGACTTGATCAGAAGGTTCTGGACTAGAGCTTTTGAATGAGTGCTTGCTAATCCCACTCCTAATTTTGGCCATCATCTACTTCAAGAAATTTTGGAGATTATTCCTGGTGATGCAAATTTTTATTTGCTCTGTCCATGTAGTCAGGCTCTCAAATCAGAGGCCACAACATCCAATCATCGCTTCCTCCATTTCTGCCCAGCCTTCCCTCCTGGAAAGGTTTGGGACATTTGGACACAGGTCTCTACCTGAGCCAAATACCCAGAGCTCAGGCTCCCTTGGTGACCTCTGGTTGCGGTTCCTGCCCCTGGGCTTGGACACACAGGGGTGCAGAGGTTTAAAAGTGCAGCCCAGAGAGGTACCTGCACTCTGCAAGCCAGGTGGAGAGGAGGGGAAGGGTAACAGCATCGCTGACTGGTGCACTATAAATGCAGCGGTGCTATAAAGGCACTCAAGAGGCTACTGACTTGCATACGGAGCTGATAAAAGACAGGGGGGCAAGGTTACTGCAGGGTTTTTATCAGGTTAAGGGAGGAGTGCTCGCTCTGTCTGTGAACCCAGCAGTTGCTTAGCGACATAATGATCAAGTGCAAGCCTGCAAGATGGACTGAATAACACCAGCGTGATTAACGCAAAATAGACCCCGTGGCTGCGAAGGAGAAGAAACACAACCCCAGTGCAAACATCATCCTTCTGCCACCGCTCCCGTGTACTAATAAGGAATAATGCACAGCCGCCGTTCCTGCTCTCTGCCACCACCATACCGAAATGATCGATAACTTTGCTGTAGGGAGGAGCTATTTATATTTCAAATGGTGCTCATGTTTCTCTGCCTGTGTTTGCAGAACATCCCCATGGCCTCTGTGGCAGGTTGAGCGTCACTCCTGGTAGTGGGAAGCACTCATTGCAAACGTGGGAGTTGTGGGGGATGCTTAACCACGCAGGATCAAGTCCTCTAGGAAAAATAACCTGTATTGTGTTGGCATAGCAAGTTTTAAAGGTGAAACT